AAGCGGCTCTAGAGGAAGCTTAGATGCCAACCAAGGAGAGGGAAGGGAGAAAAACGCTTATAAACACAAAAATGGTACAAGAAAAGGTCAGGAACACTCATTTCCGGCAGAGCTTTCACAACCTCTGCTTAGTCCCGGTCAAAACACCTACAGTATGTGTAGGTGTGGGTGATACTCGAGTACCACTACTCGGAAATGTCGTTCCAACGGTAATCTCTGTAACTCAACTAAAAATGGGATATATATATTTGATAAAATAAGAGAACCATTATTCGTCCCACATTGGGGAAATTCCAATGTTGCAGCACACATACTGTACAGTAGTAAGAGCACACAAAATATACAACAGTAGCTGCTGTGTTTCTTAGCTAGCTGTAAATGCTGTAAATAGTATTTTAGTTATCTACATATAGGGCAGGATAATAAGTGACCATGTGCTGCACATTGCACATGATTGTAGTATTTATCCAATCCTATCCACTTTATTTATATAGCACATTTAAACAACAATAACATTTCCAAAGTGCTGCACAAACAAGTATAATATATGCACAAGAAACGTATCCTTAGCTCCACCAAGTATAAAAAATAGAAAGACAAAAATATATAAAACAGATTAAAATTATAAATACCATAAATAAAAAAAACATTTATTCTTTATTTAGAGATGACTGCACAGGCTCAGCAGTTCTCATTGTACAGTCTGACAGCAGCAGGAAGGATTTACCTGTGGGACCTCTCCTTCACATGGCGAGGATCCGCAGCCTATAAAAGACATGGACTCCTTACATGCACAGGGACATACGCCAAGCCTTTGTTACGTCTGTGAGCCGTGAGCCAAAATTATCAATATATAAAGACTTGATGAATCTCACTTTGTGTCTAATAATTCTGTTTATATATTATTATTACTAATTATATATTAGTTTAATTACAGAAGTAAATGGACTTCTGAACAATATGCTAATTTTTTTAGTTTCTCCTGTATAGAGGTTGGGTAATTACACTGTTTTGATACAATTCAATCAAGTAGATTTTTTTCTCTTTATTTTCTATTTTTTAACCTATCTATCTTGGAAGCCATGTTTGAAGAATTATTGACCTAAAATGCTTTGTGCCTTGATGGGAGAGCGAGCATAGAAATACACATGAGATTCATGGTCAGTGTGGATCACCGGACCTAACATTGACGAGAGAGTGTTCCAAGCATTAACCTGAGTTGGCTCCTGGTGGAGTGGAAGTTCTTTCTCGGTCTTAGTCTTTTAGTCATATGTGAAAGTGTTGTGGTTTTGATTGTTGGATCAAAAGTATTTTATCACCATTCTTTGGCTGTAGCTTTACTCACAATAAAAACAATGGTGGCGATTAAGATTCCACATCTCTCACTCTTGGCACCCCTCCCCAACCCCCTTCCACCGATGCATTTGATGGTATTAAGCAAGTAGCGATAAGGAAAAACTGTCAGATTGTGACTTAGGGAACCTCATGGCACAAGCAAACAATATTATTGAAGAATGGGAAAGGCGAGTGCTACACAAGCTTGAAATTGTGTGTTTCAGGTGCTCTAGAAGGACATCATTGAAAGGAAGTTGAATACACAGGGACTCATCCATTCTTTACACTGCAAAATAATATGAGGTAATAATTGCTTGAATTGAGTGGGCGGTTTTTTATCTCAAGTTGAGTACATTCTGACTGTCTTAAAACAAGATTAGCCATGTTTTGTTTTGTTCGGATGGATGTGTTTTGCTGCTACTAGACAACTGAATTTTCCCAACGGGGATCAATAAAGTGTCTATCTATCTATTTGGTCTTATTTCACGAAGTATTGCTTTATTTTCTCATTCCAAAGGAGAAATGTATTTTATCTTTTTTCAAACAAGATCATTTTGCCTGTCCCATTGGCAAATCTTGTTGTAAGGCAGTTAAAATGTGCTCAAATGAAGTTACAATTTGAAAATTCGAGCATTTTTTTTTACTTTTGGTATTACTTATTACTTTATTACTTGTAGTGTACCTAATAATTAGTTATTAATTTTAGATGTTAGAATATATTTTTTATGTTAGAATATTTTGGCCTCAGATAAAAAAATAAAAAAAACACACAGTAAATTTTTCCAATAAACTAGAGAGAGTTCAGAGGCCTAATTCCAGCTGGGACAAAGGGTTGACGTTGGTTTTACAATGTGCTGAAACATAACATCTTGCTGATTGAAGCAATGTGATCTCATCTGAATATGGTCTTTTGATGACAATATTGTGCAAGACTCTCACAGTCCACTGGTTACACAAAGCTGATGTGTCGTTCTTTGTGTGCGCACTTTGATCAAGACTCTTTTTGTCGTTGTGAGAAATTAGAAAAGCAGCAGAGAGAGAAGAAACACAAAAGGCTTCCAATGAAGGAATGATACAGTTGAGACAAAAGTGGTACTGGCGGCAAAGGAATTCATGTCGAAGGTACATTTGAGTTTCACAACACAACATCATCATCAAATTTCAATTGATCGTCCAAAATAGTGCGAGGGTATTTATAGTGCGAGAGTCTTTGTCCTTCATTGTGAATTGTGTGGATTACTTGAAGGAGTGAGATCCTTTTTCCTTCTGAAATCAAATACACGCTCCTTGGGTTTAGCCGCATCCAAGTCCAGGAAATGTTTTTTGCTGTGTAACAAAAACAACTTCACCGTGACCATTGTTTCATTATAGACCATGGGGGCCCAAACTACAGCCTGGTTCACACGAGACGATTTTAAAATTGTCGGTCAATTGTCCAAAACTGAGAGACCCCACACATGGAGATAAAAATCAAGAGTCTAACCACTTTGGTCGTATAGTGTGAGGTGCGCAGCCACACGGCAAAATCACGCAAACTACACAGGTCACACAAACCGATTTCACTCCCAAGCATTCCCAGGTCAGACAGAAAATCTGTCAAAATCCCTCGAGATCAAGAGATTTTGGCGTGACTTCAGAGTAAACAATCATGGCAGACAAAGAGGTTGCAGTGGCGATAGTTTGCAGTTTGTTTTTAACAGACAAAAATCGTCATCAAAAGAAAAGACAAAGGTCAAAGAAGTGGACACAACGCGAGCATGGACTACATTTAATCTCTGACGTTTTTCCAGTGTTTCCTTGCCGCCTTGTCACGTCGTCTTTTAATTGGCTACACACCGCAGGCCACTGGCAACGTGCCAGTCTGTCCACACAGGAAGAGAAATCGGACCAAAAAAGATCGGAGCAGTCCCGAAGTCCTTCTGGGCGACGAGCGCAGTCTAAACACATTACACATGGCAAGACAATTCATCAATTTATTATACAAAAATCAGAACATTTTTAAGCTTGACGTCAGGGGTGAATCAGGTCCTAAAAAGGCCTAATTATCCTGCACTGAGAACCAGGCTTAAAGCTGCACTAACTGACGTTGTGATTTCGAAGGAGCGGTTTCAAAAGTAAGCGCTGACCTCACTTTTTCTCGTCCCCTCCCCGCAAGCACTAGCCCACACCCACTGTTGTTTATGGAGCTAGCTTCTCACATGGATTGCACTTTTGAACGTGGATGGCGTGACTATAGAATGATAGAACCGGGAAGCGCGGAAGAACGACACTTTCTTTTGGATGGCTATTTTGCTGTGTAAGCAGAAACCGGTAACAAAGACACGGGAAGTTTCAGGTTAGCCTCCGCGGCTTGTTTACCTCAGCTGTCTGTGCTAACGAGAGACCTGTAGATTTCTCAAGAAAGTGGGGGCCAGCGGCCCGCTGTGATTGGTCACAATCGTGTCCCGAAACAAATTCTCTTCCTTGTTGCACAAAATAATACCACCAATAATCATGCTGTATGTCATTGTAAAACCCAGAACTCCAGGGATCCAGTTGTTAGCTCTCAGTGTACACACTCTTTGTGTATATTGACAATGTGTGTTTCCATAAATGGCGCTAATGCAGCTGTGCTGTGAGTCAATATTGACACATCAAACCCTATTTTAAAGCCCAGAACAATCAGAATCTAGTCAAAACAGTTTTGAAATTTCGAGTGAACTTAAGTGGCCCTCTTACTAAAAGGTTTGGACACCCCTGATATACGTATCAATCAACCTCATGTGCGTATATGTATATGTACATGTGCTTAATAGATGTCATGTTCACAGTATCGATGTCCAGTGTTAGGAAGAACACCGTTAAAGAATACTGAGATAACTCAATCAATTTTAGGTAAATCTGTTTTTTTAAGCATTTCTGTTGCATTGATAAACATGCACCATCTTTCAAACCACTAAGATTTAAAAATGTAATAAAAAACATGGAACTCTCAAAACAGTTTGTGTTGTTGTCCTCTGAGAGGACTCAGCTCTCAGTCTAAACTATGAACTAGTGACTCACAGGGATATTTGTTACGTTTTTGTCAAGTTTTTGTCAAGTTTTTGTCTTGTCTTGTTTTATATACGATTTTAACATTTAGGGAACTTCACTTCAAAAAAGTCTACAAACTATAGTCATGGACCTGGCAACACGGAGCTTATTGGAAGGTCATTGACAGCCATGCCTGCTTCAGTCTGCCCCTCGACATCTGTGGCTCACTCGATTATAACCAAGATGAGTGTGACAGGGCTGCTTCTCTGGTCATAATGTTGTGGCTGATTCCTACATTCAGCTACACAGTGCAGCCATCTTGTCGCTGCACATTTGCGATATGACAGGAATAGTAAAGCCAAGCCGGGAGCGGTGCTTATGAATATACTTGTATCCAATGTACAGAATGATTTACTCAACAAAACGCCTAAATAAATCACCAATTCTTTGCTTATCAGTATTTGCAAAATGAAGTTTAATATCCCCTGCTTTGAGCAATTTCCTCCCTCCTCGAAAAGCGACCGTGCTGTGCCAAACGCCTCTCGGATGAAAATCTTTCCCATCACCACCTTCTGAGGGAGGAAGATTATGAAGATTAGATTTGCCTTAAATAGATTTTTTTTATGAGAGCCAGAAACAATGCTATCAGGGAGTCACTCTGTATGCAATTCAGAGCGAATGTTGCCAGAGCCTGACAAAAAGTGCCCAAGCGGCTCTTTGTGCACGATGCATGGTCTGTGTGCAGGTGATTGGATCTCGCCGCTGAAGTGATGGTGGCCGTTATGACCACTGACGTAAGGAGACGCAGAGTAATATGGGACCCAGCCCTCCTCGGCAAACTGAGAGTCCAACCAATCTGTGTGCTGTGAACGTGAAGCGCCTGCGATGAAGTGTTGAGGAGGTGCTGCGTGCTGTCTGTCAGAGGGACAATACGACTGTGAAGTGGACATAAACATAACAGCCGCTTGTTTTTATCATAATGCAGTAAAGGCAGCTGCCTGCAGAAGAAGCAGAGAATCTGTATGTAGCACGCGTGTACTCTGCAGAACATGTTAAAGACATGATGTGATTGTAATAGAATCAATATAAGTGTACCTAAGTATCAATATATGTGTTTCATGAATCCACCTGCTGTTACTGGGCTTCTCAGCAAGTATGTGGGCACAGGGCCTTTCTGAGTGGGGTTTGCATATTCTAGCCGTGTCTGCATAGATTCCCTTGAGGTACTCTGATTTAAAAAGTTATTTAGTAAGAAAAGCACAGACTGAAATCGTTGGGTCGTTAGGTACATTTACTGTTATATGTGTAAACTGTTTGAGTGGATTGACATGGGCTCCTCACATAATCCTGTGGCCTGTGAGTCTGTTTTAAACTGCATTTGTACAGATTCATTGAAATGACTGACAGGAACATCTCATATTGAACTAACATGAACTGAGCTGCAATCAGCAGCAAATCCTTCAGCACTTTGTCTTGACACTAAACAAAGATGTTTATAGATACAAATATCAGGGAGATATGATTAACCAAGTGGTAGCTTGCACTGTGCCTTTTTTCAGAAGAAATATAGCAGTTGTTGAATTAATATATAACAGACAAAACTACTGATCTACAAGGGACATGACTTGTACACAGCTCACATCTTAAAGGAGCAATATGTAATATTTGCATGTCAAGTCATCATTAAATGACCCGAATATTTCAAAAGGCGTTATTAAATCATACTCTTTTCGAATTCATCTTTAACTGATAACAGTAGTTCAGCCGAGATATTTGATCATCAAAATTAGTTTTACGACCCGTAAAAGTTGTTATTGTTTTGATTTTGATGTCCTACCCTCCGCCGTTTCGCCAATCAGGAAGTGTCATGTAAGTCCGTGATCGAGTTGCCAGAACTCAGCGCGGCTCATTAATCTCAGTGGTAAAATAACATGTGGCGTAGAACTAAAAAAGGTCTTGTTATGACTCTCAAATAATTAATGACAAAACAAAGACTAAAACGAGGATTTATATCGGGATGCCTTTGAACAATTGAGATCGTGTGAACCGGTGGTCTAGCGGTCTAAGCCGTGCGCTTACGATGCAGGAACCTGGGTTCGATTCCGGGCTATGTCTTTTTGTATTTATTGCATGTTATCACATTCTATGACAGATTGCTCTAAAAACGGTAAAAGATGAAGGTCAAGACGTTTTTTTGCAGATTATAGCTTAATTGTAAAAATAATCATTTAAGACCACATGTACCCCAATTAAAATAATGTTAGTCTCTTTTTGATGTGGGACTTTTACATGTTTGTCTAAAAAATAGGGAATAAATCAAATTGAAAGGTGATATCCTCTTGAGCAAACCCTGATGTTGATACGCTGAAGAAATACGTTCCAACATTCATTCTTCCAACTCCTATTTTGGACATCAATTTCTTATTTATTTTGCATAAACTATGTATAATTACATTGCTTTTATTTTGTTTTTGTTTTTTTATCTCAAATGTCCAAATTATAATAATAAAAAAACATGAATCAAAACATTCATTCAGCATTAGCACGGCTGTCATGGCAATGTGAATGGAGACGGACAAACAATTGATAAAATAATTCCCTGTGTTTGCTGCTGGATTTGGTGTGAATCTGGCAACCTGAGTCAGGGAGAGTGGGAGAGGACTACAAAATATTGACTGTGACTGCAGTACCACTTTTGGCCAGATTTTTACATATTGCTCCTTTAAATATGTCTAAAATAATAATGATCAATGTAGAAGAAATGATTAAGAAACGCATGTGTAAATGAACATCTACATGCTCTTGCTTCTCTGTCAGTAAGACACAGTTCATCAGTGACCAGCAGCATGTCCATCAGTGCAGGGCACTTAAAGTTTAGACTCCAGGTGAACCGCACTGCAGCCAGGACACTGTCACTCTGTGAGGTCAACATGAAGGTGCTCCTCCTTCAGAAAGGACAGCATCATCTTGGGAGGTTTCTGTGGTCACTGTCAGTTTGTATAAATAAATAATGACCCTGAAAACAAGGAGAACATATTCTGATGGAAAATGCCCCTGCAATGACCTTTCTATTTGTGTGTTTAAAAAAAAATCCTTTTAAGTAAATCCCTTTATCTGTATGCATTCTGTTCTTAATATCAAATAGGTTGTGAAAATTCTCTATAAATCGGGTGCATGATCAGCTGTTTTGATGGTCTATGAAGTATAAATGTATATTATGCTATAAAAACGTTTATGTTCATTTGATGCTGCAAAATATTATGACACACATCACTTTATTTCCTGTAGTTTCCCTCTCGCAGCTCAGCAGAAATCAGGCTCATGACAATCCTCACTGAGGCACAGGACTTTAGCTTTAACTTCTTCCCTTCTTTCTCTTATTAGTCCATACCACTGTTTTGATTATTTGATTTATTACGCTGTCTATTCTCCAACTCCCACAACTTTACCCACATGCTCCCTAACTCTGCTCCTCTCCAGCCTGCTACCAGCCCCATATTCTTAAGACCGACAACACCCCACAACCAGTCAAACAAAACAAAAACGTTTTTGACTTTTCCCCATTTATGGTTTTCTCCTTATTCTCCTGTTACTGCTACTGTATGTTTCTGTCATTTACAAGTCACTTTACCTGCTGCTAATATTACTATCGTTCACTCCAGTCATATTATCTGCTGCTAAAACACAAGCAAAATACAAACATCTGTAAATACCTCCTGCTGACTACAGTGTCTACTCCACTAGTGTACTATCCTGGAACCAAGTGCATTTAAATAGTTTTATATTTTCTTATTATTTTATGAATTATATATTACATTGACATTTCCCCACTGTTGGCCTCAAAAGGATAAAGATCAGGTAAAGGATTATTCCATCTTATCTCAATTTTTGTATCTAATTGTGTATGTATGGGGTTAACATTGAGGAACATTGAGGAACATTGAGGTCTAATAACAGAGTTCACAATATACCAAGCAGGTACAGAAGGTCCTGTGTCACCCAGCCACATTTTTTTGTTATTCTGGTGTCGACAAAAGCTTATTTTTCATTTGTTTACGAAAGCCTCTGACAGGTGTTACTTTTGGTGACACTGTACTTTCAATCAGCCGGCATTTTCTCCGTGAAACAATAGCTTTTTCTCCTTGGACACTGCTGTTTAAATGTCAGTGGTTTGAAAATCGTGCTGTTCAGGAATATTTTAAAGTTTTGTCGCCAACTTAATGAGACTGATCCGTTCATTATGGCACTACAACAAAAGATGCATTGTTTTTGCATACATTAATTTTTGAACAGACAGGAAAAATACACGATGTACAACCACACACACACACACACACACACACGTACATATAGCTGGTTTAACAATTCTAAAACCTGTACAACTCAAATCTAAAGACAGTTTCTAAAAGGGAAAAAGCTTTTAATATTCTCAACCTCCCAAACCCAATCAACACACGGCCGATTGATGGTCCTGTCCCTGATGTTTTCTGGTGGATTGTGCGAGATAGAAATATGAAATTCTGTTATTCCCGTCTTTGTTGTAGTAAGTGTATCCTGCAGTTTGTGCTTTGTGAACAGACACCACCAGTTCTCCAGACAAAACTTTCATTTCCTGTTCTAAAAAAGAAAAGAGAGAGGCTCCTACCCCATGTGGCATTTCTCTTAAGAGATGGAATGAATGTATGTCCCTAAAAGTGATACACTTGAATGTGCAAACTTTAAATCATTTCTTTGTCCATATTTGATTGCAGCCTTGCTTCTCCCAGCATGTCTGTTAGAAACTGATTTCAATATCTACCAATAAGTTCCTTACATAAGTTGTAAGGAACATAAGTTGTTACAAAATTGGTCCAATTGTGTACTTTCTTAACTGCAAGTAACACAAGAATGAATTTGCATGAGTACAAAATAAAAACTCTTAACATGTTTCTTACTAATAACGTTATTTATATCAGCCAGTAAATCGTTCATAATTTATTTAATGATTATAATAATAATACCCCGATAAAACAAAAAAATCTAAAAGGAGGAAAGAAGAGTGCAAATCTGAAACAAAGAGTTGTATGCTTGGAGGAAGAGGTGAGTTTTTAACTGTTTTTTGAAGGAGTTTAGTGAGTCTGAGTTTCTGAGTTCTGGAGAGCGGGAGCGGAGAGGGCGAATGCTCGGTCCTCCTAAGGTTCGGTGCTTGGATTTGACAGTGGGAGTGAGGAGATTTGAGTCTGCAGATCGGAGTCGACGGGAGGGACTGTAGAGTTGAAGTTCAGTGAGGTATGGAGGAGCGAGGTTATGGAGAGCTTTGTAGGTGATGAGGAGGATTTTGTAATTGCGCTGTTTGATGGGGAGTAGTAAGTAGTAAGTAATGTTTATTTATATGCGCATTTTACAGTAACCTTGCCTGCAAGCTGAATTCTCGCGGTATTTGTGAGTTCACAAACACTCGAGAATACATCTTGCCCCGCTCCTGCCAACCCTTTTCGAGTAGAACATCTAGGTGTTCAAGCCAATCACGCGCTAGTCTGGGGGTTTAGGGCGGGAAATCCGGGTTTGACGAAAGCAAGAAGTGCCGGGCCGAAGCAAAACAAACATGGCTACGCAGGAGGACGGACGCGTAGCTGAGGCTATCAAGTCAGTTTTAGCAGAATCTCCAATTTCTTTTTTGAAAGATGAACACCGAGAGGCGCTTTGTGCACGCCGATGACGACATAAGGTTTAAGGCGGGCACACAGCGTCACTTCGCCCAATCACTTCTGCTGCTTATCGCTCCTTTCCCCGAAAGGATTCTCCTGCAGAAGTCCCAGATTTATATTGGGGAGAACGCATTAGATTACACACATGATTACACAATCATCAATCTGGCTCTTGCCAGGTTAATTTTACAGACCAAGGTCACCCAAAGCACTTTACAATGTTCAGAGTTCAGATATTGTTCCAATCATTCTACACACGGTGATGACAGAAGCGAATCGCCGACACACTGGTGCATCAGCTCCCAGTCAACACCATCCATTCACTCTCTCATTTACATTCAAACCTTTTGTGCATGTTTTCAGTTGTAGGGGAAACCGGAGCACCCGGAGGAAACCTATGCAGACACGGGGAGAACACGCAAACTCCACTCAGAAAGGCCCTCTTCCGACCGGGATTAGAACCCGGGACCTTCTTGCTGAGAGGCGAGAGTGCTATCCACTCAGCCACCGTGCCGCCCAGCCAGTGGAGTTTTTGACTGGGACTGGGGTGATGTGTTCTCTGATGCGAGTTTGATCCCCATTAGCTCTTCTTTGGTTTGATTTGATTTACTTCAGAAAGTCCCTTGAGGTGTATCATTTCAGAAACACAGTACGTACATACACCATCACACCAAATTAAAAGTGTCTCATAGGATCCTGTAGTAGCCTCTAAATAATTCATGTTTTTATTATGAATATATTTCAAGCAGTCCCAGCCCGTAGAACAAACATCAGCAGTAAAATTGGCTTGGGGAGAATAGTTAGACCGATGGGGAGAGGATGTTGCGTCAAATCAGGAGCCTGTGGAGCCAGTTCTTTCTGGACACAGACTGAACCACAGACTGAACTCTTTACACCAGTATCCAGAACACCGGTTCATCACCATCTGCTCCATCACTTCTTGCATTTGTTTCCCCATTTAACAGATTTCTTTCTGCTGCTTAAAAACTAGTGTTCAGGACAGAAGATGTGAAACTAAGTCCACATACACTGATTAACACTGGCCTTTATGCAACACTCATTTCCCCGTTTTTACTTCCATCAGGAGAGCTCACGCAATGTGTGTCTCCCTGGGTTTGTTTGGATTGGTTTGGATCTGGATTACGCAACAACGGCCGTGCCCATTTTCACAGAGGGCAAATGCTAGGATAAAAGTTAAGAAGTAACTCAACAATTACAAGGATGATCTTTTAAAATAAAGTAACATGCAGACAATGGTAAGTTTGTACTTATGTTCAATTTGGATGAGATCTCTTTTCAAAAGCTGCAAATGGGCATGTGTGCCAATAGAAAGAATAAAAATGATATATATATTTGTTCCTTTGGTTTCATAAAAGATGACACCCTGAGCTTCTGGAATATGAATGTTGTAGCTGATTATCATGTGTGCCAAAATGCTGGAGCAGCACATGGCAAACCACATATCCACAGGTTTGTTAATGTTGAGAATAACACATCTATTAACAAAATCTTCCACATAAAAATTACAGGAGAACAAAAAAAAAAAAACGTAATAGCAATGTTACGTATTACCTACAGTATTCCAGACAAAGGTGCATTAAATTAGTTTTCCTATTTCATATATCTAAGCTGTCCAGTGGCTGCACATACTACAGAGAGGTATACCTCCTCTCTGTGAAGCCTTCAGTCTTTCACAAAATATCTTGTGTGATAAATCCCATTACCATTCCTCCAGCTCCGGCCTGGATACCTGGTGGGCAGCCTGCAGGCACTGGAGGAGACGGATGGACTAAATGGACAGTTATATCCCTATGGGCTCAGTCAAAGGAGAATTTTATATAAGTCCAATAAAGACATTTTCAATACTCGCAGTTACTCAAATAGCCCAGGAGTAGATTTCAAATATCGCATCACCATTTACAAATACACATATTTAAATTTGACCTATATACTGAATGGTATACGTCCAGAAAGAGAAGAGTTTCCTCAGTTCTTTGGGAGACACATTCATTGTCATTCTCATCCGTCCTTGAGCAATTCAACAGCTAAAGAAAGGCTTGTTTGTGAATAGAGCCAGACAATTACAAGACCATAGCTTGGTTTCTGGTCAATAGAAGGAGATTGGCTCACTTAACAAATTGCTATTCCGTCCAAGTTGAATGACCATTTAGTTTGAGAGAATATGTATACATCAATTGGGTTCATTGCTGCACGATATGGCATTTTTGTCAAGAAATGCAGCTAAAGTAGAAATTCAGACAAGAAGACTGGGAGACATG